AGCGAAGTAAACACACTCAGACACACGCACATACAACAAAGAAAGGATACAGGAAAGATTCACAGATGAAAGAAAATATTCTTTTCAGCTTACTAATAATATATTTAATTTAAAAATACAAGACACAAGTCATGCAAAAAAAGACGTTGATAATAGTTACACAGGCCTTAAGGTTAAAAACATTCGATGCCACTTGGTGATAAGAGAGAGAAAGGAAAAAGTAATAAGGGAAAATGAGATAGAAAAGTGGAGGGGAAAGGGAGAAAAGTATAAAGACTGTTTTTATTACAAAAAACTCAAAACTTCCATTCATATTACTAATGGATACAAAGTAAATTCTGTTTATATTTTAGTGCCGACAGCATTTTCCCTTTTTCTTTCTTTTTAATCATAGCCCACTGACATTATCATTGGTTCTCCGTTTTTAGTTTTAGTAATTTTGGATACAATGGTAATACGCTAAAAAAAAATATATGATTAAACATTGAATTTTCTAATTTTTAACCTAAAATTTAAGCAAGTTTTATTCAAATTATTGTGTATTGAAAATCCAGAAAAAGTTCGTCAGAGATTATTACTGTTGTGATTATTACTGTGTGTATTATTTGTATTATTATTCGTACCAGTCTTTCCTTGTTATTTCCGCTTCGCTGTCACCTCTTCCTACTACTACGAGAAGGGGCGTCAAAAAGCTTTCGACCCCCCCCCCCCAACAAAAATTTGGAAATTGATCGGGCCAAGAACTTTTTAGTATTACCTCATAATAATAATCATTATCAGTAGTCGTTGAAAAGTTCTCGGCTCGACCCACTTCCTAACGTCTAGCCAAATGACAGAACATAAATCTTTTTGGAAGTGCTTATGGGTGGATTGTGAACTGTTGAGCATGACTTTGTATTTTTTCCCCTTTCCTTTCATTCACATCACCACGAATATTATTATAATTGGTGATGAGAAATTTTTTTTTTTTAATTTTTACTTCTAACTCTCCTTCTCCTCCTCCTCCTCATCATCATCATCATCATCAGTAATAGCAGTTTTGGAGGTGGTAGACATTTTCTTTTTGTTCTTGTAATCCTAATTTACATAAAGGAATTACCAAATTTTATACGTTCCTTTTACATAACTAATTACAGAGAATACCACTTCTCCGATAAAGTATGAGTATTTGATCAACAACTGAAGTGAGTAACATGGTTACTTCACGTTTTCTAGCACAACGCTAATGCATTTGTCAATGGTGCTTCGAAGTTTATGGCTTGCAACCAAACTACTTCAAATCATTAAGAAAAAGGAAAATTTTGTTAGAAACAAAGGAAGGAAGAAATACTGAACTGTTATGTAATATCGGTCCTATTATAGGGAAGCGAACGCTGGACAATCTTTTCACAGAGACGCAATAGAAATATAATTCTACAGAAGAATGTTAATAATACTATTAATTGAACAACGACGAAGTTCTGAGAAAAATTCAAACAAAAAGGACACGTATATTAAGAATAAGAATGAGAAATTCTTATGGCACATAATGAGGAATTCGTGTTTGGAGAATTTGACACTCATAAGACATATTGAAGGGGGAACAGGAGAAAAACAGTGAATAACCTACCTAATGAGCTTCTGTAAATAGTTGAACAGGGGTTAGGAGAGATGGCAAACAATGACTTAATTAGAGCTACAGAGGACGGGAAGTTGTAGAGAACCATGATTACCTACGTCCTGAACGGACACGGCATACAGAAAGAGAAGATACAGTGATTCCTCAACGAACTTGAAACCATAAGTTTTGAATTGAGACATTTTCAGTGTAACCCCCTCACCCATTTTGAGAAACATTTTCTCTCTTACATTACCTCTTATTTGGATACTCACACACAATATTTTTAAAAATTTGCTATATTTATTAGGGAAGTGTGTTCAATATAGAGCATTTACAAATACTTTAGATGCACATACACATATAGATGCGCACACACACACATAAACTATATATATATAAGAATTAACGGATTCTATATTTAATCTGACATTCAAACGTTATTTTAGTGGATACCCGTGTTTGAAATAGACACCCATTTTTCTATTATTTTAAACAGTGTGCATTACATCTATCGGTTTAGTGCGCAGGCCGATAGACGTTTATTATATTGACCCACGACGTCAGAGGCAGATATTGTCAGTAAAGATAGCAGTGTGACAAAATGGCGTTTGACATGAAAGTGTGTACGAAGCAGAAGCATACAATCTAATTTCTGCATACAGAAAAAAATTGCATTCATGTAGGCTTGCTGAATGCTTACGGAAACTAAACAAGGGATGTGAACACATGTGGTGGGTAATAAGTAGGTACCATCAAAATGGATGTTTTTTTTCCCCTCCCGAGATGAAAGCAAAAAATTTTCTGTGTAATATATTTGCCAAAAATCAGGGAATTATCCGGTTCAAACAGGACTCTCAGTATTAATTCAGTAATGAATGAATTGTATACTGAATGGTTATTTAATTAGAAAGGTTCGTGGAAACTGTTTCACTCTCCTTTTTGATATCTTGTATGTACTTTTTAATTTGGATGATTTTCATCAAATTCTTTTGCAGTTATATAAAGAAAAATCCCTGAAGATGTTATTTCAGAAAAAAAAAAAATGTAATATCAAGCATGAACGTACGGAAAATTCGCCCCGAATCTTACCAAATATAATTCAATAAAACTCAAGAAATAAATATTTCTGACAGTTGATGCTTGCATAATTTAATAAAACACGTTATTTTCTTTCAGGCTGGACATAAAAAAAAATCCACACTCAATATTTATTTTTCCAAAAAATTACTTGCAAGTTGCAATTTATCAGTGCGTTTTTAAAATTCATCCCCGCTACTGCTTGTAAGATATTTTTATTGAATAAAGACATGTTTGAAGAATCGACAAATGTAAAGTTTAATGACATTTTTGAGCATGAATCATTTTTTTTTTTTTTTTAAAGAATTTATAATTCTTTCTTTTTAATTTTAGCAAATGTTAGATTATTTTTAGTATGGATTTTCAAAAAGGAAATAATTCTGAATTTGACTATTTTTCCCTATCGGAGTAATATGATGTATGATAATTCAATAACTCTTAAAAATTCAGAATAATTAAATATAAAAAAAAACAAAGAAAACATTCGGTGCAATTAGATATTTTATGACACCAAACGGATTGAGGAATCGGAGAGTCGAGTTCGAATTCCAGTCGAATCCATTGCGTCCACTTACATAATACCCTTGAGAACGGTATGAATCCTCATTTCTCCCCACCCCCAGCTATTGGTAAATAGCAGGACAGACCAGGGCCTTGGATGGCAAGAAATGGCAGTCTCCTGCGGGAAAGAAATCTAACTCGTCAGTGTATCACGCATGGACTGACTGAAACGGGTACGAAAATAATTTAAAAAAATAGAAGTAATGTATTAAACTCAGAAATATCATTTAACTAAGAATAAAATACTACTTCTAATGCAGTCTAAAAAATAAATAAAATTATTCTAACTTTTAAAAAATCGTATAGAATAAAAGAAAAATATATTCTTAAACTATTTGTTACATAATTATTTTTAAACATAAATATCAATGTCTTGTTGCGCTGCTGGTGTTCTCTGTATTTCTTTAGTTTTAATTTTTTTCGTCCGCTTTTTAATTCAGAAGTGTGATTATACATATTTATTTTTTACCTATGAGCCCACAGGATATCGTGCGTAAATAAACGTTATTTTCATTAAGTTTAAAGTAAAAAGTAAACTAAACATTACTTTTTACGTTTACAAAGTCCAGTTAATTACTCTTTAATTTTACTAATTGACTTCGAAACAGAATAAATATTCGATTTTTAAGAGATTTTTTAAATTTTTTTTAAATTTGATGTTTACTTTTAATGGAAGTTCGATGAATCGATGAGTGACAAATGCGATAATGTTTTAAAAATGCCTAAAAACTATTTATATACAGAAATAAATCTTTATTTTAATTCAGATTAGCGTTAGGTAATTATCTTTCAAATAAAACAAAAGTTTAAAATAAATTCAAAAAAGGTATTTAAATTACTTTAAAAAAAATGAGTTTTTCAGGGTTGTTTTAGGGAGTCTATGGGCGGTACGTAGCAATGAGTTTCAGCAGTACTGACTGATGTGTGTGACAAGCCACGTTCATGACGGTCTTGCGCAACTCACGAAATGCAACATTGTTTATTCCTGGCGAGCTTGCATAGCTAACAGCGGTAACTATGTGGAAAATAGTGTTTTGTAGCTGAAATATATCTCTTTTTAAACAGTATTACTGTGTTCCTTGTAGCTCTTGTAGTTTCCGTGGAAATAAATAGGAGACATTACTTTCTGAACGTGCCTAGATCTCAGCTGACCTCACACAGAATAATACTCAAACGGGCAGCTCGCCAATCGCTGTGAGGATTAGCTAATAATGAGAAATATGATATAACATAGACAATATGCAGAAAACTTCCTGTTAGAATGAAATGTAGAATTTTTAAAATCAAACTTTTTCTTGTCTAAATATTTAATTTAAGGTTTTCTTTATTCTTTTTTTCTACCTAAAGTCAGCAAGATTATTTAGAGTAGACTTTATGAAACCAGGTATATGCACAGCCGATTAAACTGGCCGCATAGAATTAAGGACGGGGAAAGCCAAAATGAAAATATATTATAAACAGGCAAATTTAAGAAAAGTAAATGAAAAACAAACAGAAATTGGAAGAAAAATAAGAGGAAAAAGGGAAAGAGAGAGTAAAAGAGAAAAGGGAAAAAATAGCAAGAAGAGGAATGGCTACAAAGACTAAGACAATAAAGTTTTGTATGTGAAGTGTAATGATCGTTTGTTTTTATACAAAGGAAATATATATAGAGAGAGAAAGAAAAATTACAGCAGAAGTAAAAATTTAGTAAAAAAAAACCCAAATCAGTTAAGAAACAGACGTCAAAGAAAAAAGTTAAATGAGAAGAAAAAGAAAAAAGTTAAATGAGAAGAAAAAGAAAAAAAAAAAGAAGGCGTGTAAGAAGGTGAAGGATGAGAAAAAAATGAATGAAAAAGAAGAAAAAGATAGAACGGAAAACAGAAACAAGCACAAAAAAGAAGAAAGAAAGAGCAATGTGGAGGTAAATAAGAAAAGAATCAAACAAAATCAAGAGGAAATACTAAGATCGCAAATCAAATTTTAAAAAAATTAGATAAGACAAGTATGAAGAAATATCAAGGCTAACATAACATGTAAAGGAAAAAAATGAGTAATTCTCAGGAAATTTGAAAGAGAGAAAAGAAAACGCGAAAATAGAAAAATTAAGAGAAAGAGATAGACGCACACACGCACACAGTTTGAGTGAGGAGAGCGGTTTGTGAAGGCATATTTCTGTTAGGGTCGTGGCGAAGATGGGGAACTGAGGTTCGGGTTGTATCGGTTCCGAGTTCCTGAGTGATAGACTGTGTGATTGAAGGAGGAAGATTGTTGCCTATTTATAAAAGGCTAGTCATAAGCAAAATAGTGGCAACTGCTGATTGTGTAGTGAGAGCAACTGAACTGAAAGCCTAATTGCTGAAACATGCAAAGATTACAGCAGAGCAGACGGACAGACGACCGACGAGGCTGAAATCAAGACAACTGACGCTGACGGTTTTATTAGGGGATCAGGGTAATTGGTATAACGGTTATTAGCACGGGAAATGGAAACGGCAAACTGAGTTCAAATCTCGGCTGAGGCTGCTTAATGTCTATATCGCCAATATAATTTCAGGATCCCCATTCTCCTTGGTTGCACCTCTCCATTCCAATGAAAAGAGATCGATCACAGCCATTTAGCGCACCAAATTCTGAGAGAACATGACAATTTTTGTTTCTATTCTACACGTAGACATTTAAACCTAGCCTAGGATAAATAGCCATCGTCTTATTAACAGATATATTGACAAAAATGAAAAAGTAAAGGTCTTGTCGCTAGCATACCATGATGATTGATGAAAAATATAATGAGCGAGTTGAGAAAACTATTTTTTCATAATTATGCATGCCACTCTACGCAGAGAGTGGCAAGCTAATTGTCACCTTTGATAGCGGGGGCACTTACATGAACATAAAATAAGAAATGAATGCTCCATCCAATGATATTCTCAGTATTTTCCTTAATACACGCATACAATCTGAACGGTGGCTGAAATAATTGCAAACTTCTCATTATGCCTAGAGATCTGTGTTCCAGTTTAAATAAAAGCGAACACTACAAATGCTGATTTTCAAAGTACGCAAGCTTGGAAGTCATGGCTCAACAAAATCATTGATCATATGCTGATAAATACGCCTATACCTACATCAGCTGTTTTGCGATGATAAATATACTTGCGTAAGAAGTTATTATGGATTTGAATCCAGTGCGTATCCCACAAATATGCCAATATTTGATTTGCAATTACAGGGTTTTCTAAAAGTCATAAAAGTTTAAATTCTCTCTCTCTCTCTCTCTCTCTTTTTTTTTTTTTTTTTTTAAAGTTTCGTTAAATTATTTTTGGTCCATTTTAGACATTTCGTAATATATATATATATATATATATATATATATATATATATATATATATATATATATATATAATATTAGTGGTAAATATACATACATATGCAAAATATATAAATACCCATACATGTATATTTTTTGAATAAAATTCCAAGAGGATAGAATCCAGGTAGAACTCAATGTCCAGGACAGAGTAAGGATATAATAAAAGGCTTAAACACTAATATTCCATGGTCATTATGACCATGGAATATTAGTGTTTAAGCTTCTTTTTTATTATATATATATATATATATATATATATATATATATATATATATATAGGGGCGACTTAGTGTGAATTAATAGTTAGCAAGTTGGTGTCTCAGCTCACTGATGGCCCATACAAAGCAAATATATGTGTGAGTATGACAGTTATGAACAGGCACGCGTATACAAAACGAAATAAGTGCATTTAACAAATTGAATAATTCATTATAGAGTAAGCGAAGAAGGAATTTGTTGCAACAAAAATGTCAAGAAAACTGAAAAGAGATTACAGAGGAAAACAGGTAAATTTACAAAGGTAAAGATAGAAGAAAATATAATGAGGAAAGAGGAGAAAGGAATGACGCTGAGCTTGGATCTGTTCGATCAGTTGAATTTGGTTTGTGAAAACGAGTAGATCATTGATGCCTCCGTAAACTTTCGAGTGAATTTCCAAGCAGACACTGATGTATAATGACGGTGTGAAGAGGCTGCAGATTTTATTACAAGAAACGGGGAAAAAAAAAGGAGAAAAAAAAAGTGTGAATGAATATGAAGTAAAATGTGATGAAAAATTAGTAACTATATCATAGGTACCTGCATGTATTTTCTATATATATAAAAAAAAAAACTGAAAAAAGCATTTTAAATAATTTAAATTTTCTTTGAAGTTAAATTTGTGGTTTTATTTGAAAGATAATATCCTAAAATACGTAAAAGAAAGAAAAATTATTTTACGCCCTTAAAAATTTTAGACATTTTTAAGCTAAAAAAGTAAAAAAAAACAGACCTACTTCAACCCAGTTCGATTTGCGAATTTGATGGACGTCGAAAGCGAAATTAAAACGCCTTAAAAATCTCTTGAAAATCTAATATTTGTTTCGAAGAAAAGTAGTAAGTTTAAGAATTATTTAATTATATTTTGTAATATTAATTGCTTTTTGCAAAAAAAAAAAAAAAAAAAAAAAAAGAAACAAAACAAAAATAGGTTATATTCTCAGTTGTCAACATGCTCAATAGCAATCTTGAAAATTTTCTGGAAATCAAGTGATTCCTTTATCTTTACTGTATCTCTATCATTATTATAGGACACAAACTCTCTCTCTCTCACACACACACATACACACACACAAGACAAAAATAAGCTTGAGCAAATTAATCAAAACTTTCAATAATATTCGGTGGTCTTGAAAAGAGCCGTTATTTTTTTTCATGTCAAGGGATATAATAAAGAATTTTATTTTTTTTGATCATCTGCAGAATAAAAGAAATCGTAGTTGTAAAATACAAAAAACATAAAATTATTGGAAATGTTCAGACTCGAAAATTGCATGAAACTTTACATTTTTCGACTTTTCAAACATTTTTTTATACATGACGTTCTTTACTAAAGGCCAAATCATGGTACAACTCTCACCCCGAACTGGAGTTCTATCTAAAATCTCGTCGGTCTACTTGGAACAAAGATCTTTAGTTTCAGTTTGTGGTAGTTCATTGCTATATAATCGGTTTAAGAAATTCAAAGAAAAACGCAGATTAAGAGCATATTAAAAAATAAATCCTCTTTATCGTGGTATATTTTTCTTTACTAAGATCTTATTACTATTAATATATAATTTGGCGGAGCTTCGGATCCATCAAATTCCACTCCGTTAACAAGAATGTACGAAATGTGATATATATTTTATTTTTGGGTGTAAGAGTTCACGTTAAAACAGTTTTAATGAAACAAAAACCATATCGGAACTATGAATCCTGGGAAAAATATGACATGAAACAAAATAAACATGAAAGTAACTTTTTTATTTTATTGTTGAGAAATAAACTATTGTTATGATGACTTATTGTGTCATAAATATACTTTTATAAATTATACTTTCTTTTTATAGAAGTATACAAAATAGACTCCTAAAATACGTGATTTAGCCGCAGGTTGACAAAATCTTAAAATATCAGATTAAATTCATTGAATTTAATTATGATACTAACTTTACATAACAGCGTTCTTAATAAATAATTTTTCATTAATTTTGCAGTATAAAATATCACCTTTGCTCTTATTTTATATTTTTAACATTAAAATTCGACATACATTTTTGCAAAATACCTTTTACAAAGAAAAACACAGATTATAAAAAAAATCATTAATATATTTGCTATGAATAACAATATCAGAGAAAAATATTAAAAACTCAACATGCTTTTTGCATTTATTAGAAACAGAAATATAGATTATGCAAAAGTAAATACACTTGATCATTAGTGTATTTGCTTTTATGAATAAAGATGTCATAGAGAAGAATTGTAACTAAATGAAAAATGTTTAATTAACTTCCAAGTAATAAGACCAATTTCCAAAATCATATTTTTTGGTGAATTTCCCACAAAGTTTGTTTTTGCAATGAAAACACAAATATAATTTCCTGACGGAAATGAAATAAAATAAACAAATCTTATACGTACTTCAATTAAATAAACTAAAGTTATTCCAAATGTAAAAAAACAAAGATTTCTTAAGCAAACTACTGAAAACCCAAACCGAAAATAAAAATCTTAGCTCACAGTGGAAGGACAAGAATTAAGATAGGCTTCCAATTCAGGCCGAGAGTTGCATTATGACTTAGTCTTTAATAAAGAACGCCATGATTTTTATTTTATATCAACTGAGTGTTTATCTCGACGACGTGATTCTTCTACAACAACGACCAAAATAGATAAGAGTTTTAAAATCGTATTGTAAAAATACATGTCAAGTGTTCACAAACAAAACAGATATATTTCCTTCCGTGGAAACAAAAATTGTAAAGTATCTTTTATTAAAATTAGGTATTAGCAACTCTCAAAGCAAAAAAAAAAAAAAAAAAAACAAAAAAACCCCTGAGTTTTCCTGAATTCATGTCTTATGATTTCGAACCCTATTTTCGATGTGCTCAAAATCGATATTAATTTTATTTTAATGATACACCTTCAGGGATTTAGCTTTATAAAAAATGGAAAAATGCAAAAAAAGTGAACGCTTGTGGAGTAATGTAAAAAAAATATTATTTACAATTAAATCCTAATTGAAAAAAAATGCTCCAGCGTATGAAAAAATAAAATCAAGTACGAATTATTTTATTTACTAAAAAGTTATATGAGTGACTAAACGAAAAACACTATTTCGTAGAAAATAACACTTATCAATGTTGCACTAAATAAAAATAAAATAAACGTTGAACGTGTGTGTATCAATGCAGGTACGATAAGCAGACACACATGAATGTTTGTATTGCTAATACTTTCTGAAATGTGACTAAACATAAGTTTTTTTTGTTTTTTTTTAAATAGGCGACAGACTGAGGCCACACTTTATGCAATTGACTTGGTCAAGAAGCCTGTATCTTGCTAATTCCGAATAGATTTCTTTCTTCACTTCTTTTAAGAGAGATTTTTAAGATCACTAAAGTACTGTTTTCTTTTTTAACAACTTTTTAAATAAGAGTAAGACACTCGCGCGAAATGTGCTAGATTCTATTTTACGAATTAAGTTGCTACAAGTTTTTAAATTACGATCAAATATCGCCGATCCGTTATATCCTTTGTATGTGTGTCTGTCTGTTTGTCCCAAATTCCAGAGTGAACTAATTTAATGTCGTTGTAGTTTTTGGGTTGAGTTAATGGAGCAGGAGTTTATATATCAATATGGGGATATAATGATAAAGAATGCGGGTAGAAACACTCCTCTGGGCATAGTTGGGATATCGGTCCACAAAAATAACATTACTGAGAGAATAATAAAGAAAGAGAAAAAAGTTGAAAATGGAGAAATACAATGGAAGAGGAAAATGTATGAAGAAAATGACTAAGAAAAAAATCAACAAAAGACGGAAAAAACAAATTATATGTAAAATCAAGAAAGTTAAAATACACGAAAAAAGAAAGGGAGAAAGAGAAAAAAGGGTGAAAGAATTGTAAACAAAAACAAGAGAGAGAAAGATTGATTGATTCATTTTTATAGCTTACTCTTTGTGGGTTTAATGACGAAACATGTTGAGAATATTTTTTTCTGCGAGTAAATAACACATTAACAACTTTTCTTAGAATAACAATGATTTATCCAGACATATGTCCTACAATTTTTAATCCATAGCTGGAGGAGGAGATTGATTCATATCTTTGCTGAAGGATTTTTTGTGCGAAAATGAATGTAACGAACCTGACTGGATTTCGAACTCTGGCTCTTCGATACATATACATACATACATACATATATATATATATATATATATATATATATATATATATATATATAAAAAGAGAGAGAGAGAGAATCTAAGAGATAGAGATGAAAAGTAAGCGGAGATGAAAATAAAGCAAAGCGAGATAGAGACAAAAAGAAAGATTGAGACGAAAAAAATAGCAATGAGAGATAGAGACGAAAAGTGAAATAAGATGAAAAGGGAGCAAAGAGAGATAGAGGCGAAAAGAAAGACAGAGATGAAAAAATAGCAATGAGAGATAGAGACGAAAACTAAAATAGAGAGAGATGAAGAGAAAGCAAAGATAGAGATGAAAAGAAGGGAAAGAACTGACGGCCAAAATGAAAAAAAAAACAAAAAAACCTGACAGTGAAGAAATCAAGGACGGGAGTGAGTGATAAACCGATAGTAAGAAAAAAAATGGAGAATTTCTTGTGACAAGAATTTGTGGTGAGGATGGCAAATACGATTTTGTCACCTTATCTCGTAATGTAAACACATTTGCTAGTTCGATCCCCACTGTGTACCCAGCTACTTTGTCCACGTGTCAGAGTTAATCATGTATAGGAAGTATTTCTATATCCACAGATATTTTAGCTTAACCCGGGACAGTAACAATGGAGTACTCAGGGAGAATTGGATTCACTAACAATGGTTTCAGAGACAATTTTTCTTTACACTTTTTGCTAAGAACTCAATAAACAAACAGATACATGAGTATACGAGGAATGATATGCTTGGCATAAATACGTGTGCGTTGTTAAGCATAATTAGAGGAACGGATAAATAATAATAATAATTATAATAATAATAATAATAATAATAATAATAATTTGTACGGGCTATCATACACATAAATACGTATGGGTATAAATACAAAGTGTTATTTACATAAAATAGTTAATTACATTAAAATTGATACGCCTAAAAATATTTGTATATACGAAGCACGTTATTAAACCTGCATAGTACCCGTAAAAAATTATGAGATTATTTCCATACAGATCGGCACTTCTGACTAGGATTAGAGTATCTGTGTGCTCTTGCCAGGATGAAAGTGTTGCTCCCCGGCACTGCTGTATAGATCCGGGCCGAAGCTGCACAGGTTGGGATAAAAATACAGTATTTTCCCCTCTTTAATAGGTTTGCCTTCGAGTAGGATATGACATAAATGAGACTAGTCTATTCTTGAGGATTCCAACCTACAAGAAAGCACCTCTCCATTGCACTATACATTGAGGGTTAGTGTATTTTAATGTTTAATGACACTGGTTACAGAAACTGGGATTTTTATTTTTGTCCACACATACATGTGTGGGTTCTATGTTAAATTATGTATCATATATTGGTATGCAGACAGAGAACGAGTTTAGTGAAAGCACAAAACCAGAAAGAGTAAAAATGCATTTTCTTGTATTTAGCCCGTACATTGAGATGGTTGTAAGAGAACTAAAAGACCTATTCCGATTTATTAGTAGTAGATGATACTATGTTAATGGCTGATTTAGAAAGAAAACTGAAATAACTATTATACAAGGTAGTAGAGAAAAGAAAGAGGAATGGCTTAAGCAAATTAAGTATAAGTAAACAGAATCCATGAAAAGGAAGAAGTCCTTAGAAACAAAGAAAGAGTGCAAAACTGCGATTTAATATATGATCTCTTATATGGTAGTGAATGCTGAACAATCTTCTTACAGATAAAGAAGAGACTTAAAGCGACAGAGACTCTTTCTACTGACGAATATTGAGATTACCAAAGATAGAACATGTGAGTAGGGAAGGCGTTTTAAGGAGAATGAGAAATACAAGGCAACTGCTGGTAGCACTCAAAGAAATAACAGAAATTCCTAAATACATAATGAGGAAAAAGCTTGGAGAATTTAACACTTACATGACATACTGAAGGTAAGAGAATCAGGATTGAATAACGAGTTACATACGTAATAAGCTTGAGTGAACATATGATAGAAATAATTAGAGCACTAAAATACAGGAAAATGTGAAGAGCCATGGTCGTCTTTTATGAAAGGTGTCACATCTAACCCCAGTAAGGAATAGTTAAATATTATATCAGAATGTAGTTACTCGGCCTTCAGTCTAATGCGATATATTACGGAACACTGGTGCTGTGTTTCTAGCTTCGTGCAAGATTTGAGCATAACAGTTTTTTTTCAGAGCTCATATGATACCTATCTTATGTCACACACCATCAGTGTTTTTTATTTGAAATGCCATATTATCTCAGGACACAATGGCTTTCCACAAATTCCATTTCTTTATTCACGGTAATAGGACTTCTTGCGTGAAGTGGTTTCTTGCCACCTTCATCACGATTTTGAATTCAGAGTATTTCTTCTACCCAAGGCTAGAGAATCCAGTCTACTCTGCTATTAATTCTATAATTGAGAGAGGAAAGAGATTGGTTCATGTCTTTCCCGAGGACATTAGTGCATTCGATAGAATATTTCAAAGTTTTTAAAATAAAGGAAAACAACAAATACACTGATTACACACACACACAAACACATATATACACACACAGAACCAGGTGTAACACAGAAGATAGACAAATCTAGTCCTCAACGAACGACTAAACTTCTGCTGTGGGTTAGGAATTGGGTGACAATATGTTTCATTGAAAATCTTGTAATGGTCTTATCTTAGAATTTTGCTTTTGGAGTTCAATTTGTAACGGTGTTTCGTTGGTTGAACTGGGATATTTTCTTGTGTTGAATGGACATAATGGGGTTTGTTGTATACGATGCGCCACGTAGTTCGGTTGAGACTAAAATCGGTTCGCCCGTGTTCTAAGAAGTCATTAACGAGAGGATAGTTTTACCAAGATTTTCTAAAAAAAAAAAAAAAAAATTTCAAAAAAATAATTTCTTTCATTTCTGAGTAAGTTAAAAGTGCCATTAAAATTCGGCAATTATCTTATTTTTGAGAGAATTTTCAAAATGTGTTTTTCACTTCAAAATTACGCTCAAATTTTCTGTACAAATTCAAGGTCCCGCGTTGATGAAAAAATAGGATTTTTAACCAAAATTTATGTTCTAAAAAGGATATATATATATATATATATATATATATATATGAAAGATTCATGGATCTTTCCACTTAATAACAAAAATTTTAATGATAAATTTTGTTTTTTATTATGTTTTGTGCATTTTTCCATCGTGTATCCTCTTTTTTGGCGAATGTTTGGAGGTACCTACAAAAACATCACATTTACATTTTCCAGTCACACTACAGGCACCAGAATACCGCATTTACTTTAAAAGAAAGAAGAGATTGTGTCTTCCACTTTTCTGCTTTATACAACGTGGAGTAGAGAAGGAATTGCTCGGCTTGGGATCCAGTTACAGTAGGGACGTCTAAACATGATGAAAAAAAGCCTCAAACTTAATAAAAACAAAATTTTATCGTCAAAATTTATATTATTATGATGAGGAAAAGCCAAAGGATTATTTAATTATTGAATTACTTTTTTTTCCTTTTTAGAATCTTCGGAATTTTGGTTTAAAAATTTCGTTTTGCTTGCGTTAACGAGTGACCATAAATTATTATGGGAAAATTGAGCGTATTTTTGTGATGAAAAACATCAATTTGGAAATAATTGCAAAAATCAGATAATTTTTGTATTTTAATGAAACTTTCAGGACTTATTCACAAATTAACTAAATTAATTTTGAAACTTGATAAAATCTTGATAAAAATATTTTTCTTTATATCTGTTTCCCCGCAACACCAACTATTGTTTAATTTTATGAAATTTCGAGAAATTCGTTTTTGTGCTGCTTAAAATGCTTATATTAATTATAAGGACAAGTTCTCCGAGAATTTAAATCATCAAATCTTTTTTGTAAAACAGTACCCCTCAGTTAGAGAAAATCTGCTCTGAATGGTAAAATAAAAATGCAATAAACTAAGACATTATTTAATTAGAAAAGCTTTTAATTGCTTTTATGAATAATATATATTCTGGACACATATTTTTTTCGATGAATAATGAATTTTTACAAGAATTGTTTTCATTTCTTTTAAAATTTTAATTAGAACAATTTATAAAGTTTTAAAATTCTATATTAATTTGTAGCAGTTACGTGAAGTTGTTTTAAAGTGAACTATATTTACTAATCATAAATGGAAAAGTTTACTACAATTCAACGAACTTAGTATTTTAAAAAAATCTGATTTTTTTGTATGTATGAACATGCCGGTTTTTGTAAATACTGACGTCCACACACAACATTATCTGAAAATAGGAGCGGTAACTATAGGAAATTTAAAATTTATTGGTAATTTTCCAACATTTCTTCAACAAGCGTCTTCGTAAGACGATAAAGCCAAAGTACCTAAAATTCAATAAAACATTAGATTACTTAGAATATTTTCCTAATTTTAAAAAAATTACTGGGTAGTTAAAATACTATATAAAATAAGCGTTCACGTTGTAATCGTCAAATAATTTTTGCAGTTATGTCCTCTTTACTTATAAATGCTAAACATTAAGAAGCTATCAATAAAAGTATGAACACCTGATACCTTCGTTTTTAAAAATTCTTTTCTGCGATAATTTAAACTAAAAGACATATTTGTTATAATTCAGATTAATTAAATTTTAAATCAGTTAATTTTCCTCAAATAAAGTTTCAGAAAATTATATTTTATTTTTGAAAGATTTTTTTTAATAAATGGTGTTATGTTGTTTTGACAGATTTGTCTATATTTCATCGATTAAAAAATCATTACATTCAATTTAATTTTGGTTTTGAAATACAGCAAAGCATTTTGCTTATTGGAAACATTAAATTTAATCTATTAACTTGGAATTAAAAATAAAATAAAAGCATCAAGAAAGTTTTTCATTTATATAATAATACATACATATAATAATACATTTTAATGTATTTTAAAAACCTTAGTTAATGGTTCATTTTTGCGGGAAATATCTAAGTTACAGTATATATTTCTTCTAAACTGTGGTCAAATTTACGGAGGGGGGGGGGTCAATAAATACCCAGAACAGAATGCAGTATCTGTGCACTCTGTGAAAATTGTTACACACAAATTACGTTTTACGCATACGATTAATTAATAACATACTTTCGTGTTTTGTGCATATGTCAGTGTATGTCGATAGATTTTATTGCGGTGAAGTAGTTTTCTCTACTGTCGTCTAAGATAGACTTATTTCCGGTGTTTAATATCTTTTATTGAGGATACTTATTGCATTGAAACAAAACTTAATCGAAAAAATAAGTATTCTGATAATTATCATATTACACACACATACACAAATCTATTATCGCAAGGAAATTAATTTTGGGGGAAAACAATCCATAGATAGTTCAAACTATATAAAGAACACCATTTTTCATATTAACGTCCCATTATACTTATACTATTTTATAACATAAGTACCTCCAAAGATTCGTTAAAAATGAGCAGATATAATGAAAAAAAAATACCCCAAACTTAATATCAGTTTAACAATTTTTAATAACAGTTTAAATTATTACTCGCAAGTTAAAAAAAATATACAGAAAAGGCGTTTACGTTGTATTCGTAATATAATTTTATCGCCATTATCTCTTCTTTACATTAATTTCCGAAATATCAGGCTGTCGATAAATGTGTCAGCACTTCATAAAAGCACCCATTTCCGTGTTAAAAGTTCTTTCCTTCGATATTTTAAACTAAAAGTAAGTAATCTTACTTATTATAAAACGCAGATCGTGTGTGTGTGTGTGTGTGTGTGTGTGTCTGTACGTTTATATATTGGAGCGGATTTCCTACATTTTTCAACCGATTTCAACAAAACTTCACAGGACTGTGTAAAATTACCTTGCAGTGGTTCTGACAGAGACAAAAATTGGAAAAACACAATTGTTTTTGCACGAAATCAATTTGAAAACACGATAAAACACGATTCTGTCGCCAGAATGAAAGGGGGACAAGTCATACCGAGTTATACTTATTATAAAACCCAGGTTGTTTGTTTGTGTGTGTGTGTGTGTGTTCGTTTATATATGGGATCGGATTTCCTACATTTTTCAACCGATTTCAACAAAACTTCACTTTTTTTTTTGGCAGGTAGTGTTTCTTATTGTCTTGCACACTTTTTTCTTTATTTTTACATTCAAAATGCTTTAAAAATTCCATTTACAAGACAATTGTTTATAATAAAATTCTATTCAATCGATAGACTCATAACGATTGAAAACAATGTTTTTGTTTGAGTTTGGGTTTGACCAATTCGTAAAAAAAAAAACCAAAAATTAAACAACGTGTCCGTCAAATTAAACAATAATCTCCGTCAATTTTATTTTTCAGTCTTTGCTTTCGATACTTTTATCTCTTATGTTACATCCCCAGGCAACAATGTCCTTTTCGTATAACATGAGGATTCTAATGCAAAAATCAATAATCAATCTGTTCAACGGAAACATATTGACATTAGAAACAATATTGAGGAAATTCATCTTAAAATGTTTTGATTAAACCAGAAAAACGTGGAAATAAATAATCCAGTTAACCACCGCTTTCGAATGTATTCAATTTTCCACAAAAAATCATTACACCTACACAAATAGACATCGTAATGAAAAAGGTAAAATGGTCACCAACACCCTTTAAAACGAAATGAGTTTTTTTGAAGGATGATGTTTCGGAATTCTATAGAATTAAATAAATGTTTGCAAAGAACAATTCTGTGAAGAAAAAACAATGAAAATCACTAGTCAAAAAACAAGAAAGTTTATCAATCTCCAAAAGGTAAAAATGCAGCCCTTGATGAATTCTTGTAATTATATCACAAAATAAATGAAAAAAAAAATGGAAGGGGGTCAAACAAAGTCTCCAAGTCTTCACCCAGACAAAATGGAAAAAAGGCAACTGACCTAAAAACGAGAAAAAATAAACCTGGAAAAGAAGCGGCCTATATATCTGCAGTTGTTATTATTGTTGAAATAGGATGCAAGCATCATCACAATATGGGCAGGACGATGTAAATGAAGAAGAGATAATACCAACCTCTCAAACACAATGAAAAAACTCATCAATTTAATGTGCTCATGTTTTAAACTAAAATACGTCTAAGGAAAATAATTTCCTGACAAACTATATATATGTCACATTTTTAAGGACTACCTAAAATATATAAATATATATATCATTACTGAAACACACAATACATAAAAAATGAATTTCATAATTATACCCACACACACAATTGTAAAACCATAATTGTGTAATAGAGATAAGGCCCAATTTCATAGATGTCTTTTATGACAATTGAAAAATACATTCTTCAATGAAACCTCTTATCAAACAACCTCGTTGATCGGAGAGTGAGAAATATTTTAGATTTTGTGAATAATCTTCTCAACTAGATAAACCATAATACTTATATGGTCTCATTTCGATGTTGTGATACTTATATAGCACATAACATAAATACGGAATATGAGGCCATAAAATCCATATATAGAAATGTTTCCCTACGTGTTTATATCACAACAGTAGTAAATGCATAATAGTATAAAATTCAGTAAAATACCTCTTTAAAAACCCCAATTTTTAAATGCAACGAAAAGCTAATTTTTTCATTGAAGAACACATTGTTTGCTTTTTTATTTAACAAAAATAGTTTTAAAAAAGTTACGTCAGAATATAGGCAAATAAAAATTTATGACAGAACATATGAAGTTTCATGGAATGACAGCGTCGATGCCAATTCATATACAAGAAAACAAGTGAAAAACATCTATAGCATTTCAAGTGACGTTGGTAATAATCAAAAAATATTGGTATTTTTAAAGAAAAATTTAGAAATCAATTTCAAATTGAGAATATAGTTTTTTCAAGTTGGTTGGTTCTGTATTGGGTAAATGTAGTATTCCAAAAAAGCAAGGAAAAACTAAAATTAATTTTGAAAACAATATATGCATCTTGATAAAATCCTTCACGATCATATTGTTTTCTTTAACAATGGAAAATAGCTTTCATTTTAATTTTAACCCTTTTTCTTCTACAAAAGTACAGATGAAGATTAAATTTGAAAAAAAATAATTTAAAGAAATAAATATAACTTTCGAAAAATATTAGCTGAGTTTTGATAAATTTCTCACTTTTCTAAAAAAAATGCATACCGTTGTCAACAATTCCACCTATCGCAGATCTAAAAAACTGTTATCTATAAATTATTTATATTTTTTTATATTTAGTTTTATATAATATATTTATATAAAATTTCAAGATAAATAATATGGCATCAGAAACAAGTAAAGTCACGTAAAAGTATATAATTTTTTTTAACTCTTTTAAAGTTTAAGTTTTACCACTAAATCGAACTAATTCTTTATTCGATAAGCAAAGCAATATAATCGAGGTAAATATATTTAAATAAAATATAAAAATATAAAATAACAGCACATGAAATATACATATTGTCTGTTTAAAGATATAAAGACAACAAAAGGTAACGAAAAGAGTTTGATTTCAGAAGTTATTAAATTTTATCGTCAGAGGATGTCCGGATTAGATAGTTTAACGTTCCACTATATTGAGAGAGATGGACACAGAGCAAAGACGGATTAATGATATGATTGGATTAGCCGACATAAATAGTTACGAGATGTGTCATGAGGCTAGATCCAACTTAAACATCTCTGAGATATTGAGCAACGACAATGTATTTAAATGCAAGTTAGGTGACATTGTAAAAAAAATTTCATACTGTTCGATGCAACCGGGTGAAAAGAAGGTCAGACTAAAGAACTGCATCTGGTAATGGATTGATGTCAAAACAGACAAATAGTGAAAGTCTTTGATCATATATTGGTTGGACGAGGAGAATTTATATGATGAATGGACAAATTAGAAAAACAAACGGAAATCGGGAATAAAAAAAAAATCAAATGTTGAAACCGAGAAAGAAAACTTTTAAAAAAAAAAAAAAAAAAACGAAGCTAAAAATAAAAATAAAGAAGAAAAACAGAAATATGAAAAATATTAAGCGGTTGCCTGTTGAAAGTTTGAGGGAAAACAAAAGTATACTATTGAGAGAGAGAGAGAGAGAGAGAGAGAGAGAGAGGACGTTGTCAATGATCGAATAGAACATTCTCAATGATGTAAAGAAATTTGAACTTGAGTTACCAAAGTTGAAAAGTCTGAAAGTGTAACATTTTATTTTAGTATAAGCGTGTTGGTCGTGAGAGATGTGCTTACATCACTGTAGAGGACACACGTTAAGTTGCTTTTTCAGTATTATAGTAATAAAATTAGTATTAATCGTTTTTGTTGCTCAATAAACCAAACTAATTTATTTGGACACTTAAATCAACAAATATTTATGGAGGAAAGTAAAGCAGTCAATTCAAAAATTTTCCCAACGCCAACAATTTTACAATTCCAAAGTTTTAAAAGTTTATACTTATATAAAAAAGAATTGAGTTTATTACAGTGATTTTTCAATGTTGTAAAGAATTAGAGTTAGGATTTTAGAAAATACATCAAAACTTTAATTCATTCTAGAGTGACAGAGTGATTTCTAGCAATGAGCGAAAAACACCTAAAAATAATTATTACGGTTGTATTTTTAGTGTTGAGTAAATATTGGAAATGTCAGATGGATAAAAACCAAACCAAAGTTTGTCACATGAATTTTAATATTAAATGGAGGAAAGTGAAGTTTTTGACAAAATCAAAAATGCCCGTTTACAAGAGAATATGGCGATGGTGGGAACATTCTACTTTAAAACATTTGGGCATTCTGTACCAAGACATTACAGTAATCACGGAGAAAAAAATTTGTCTAAAAAAAGGGGGGAATAAAAACTTTAATGAAGTCCTTAAATTTAAATTTCCAAGAAACTAAAATCTGTTTTAAAAATCAAATTAAAAACGCAGATCAAATTTAATAATTTTTACTTACAAAATATATTAATAAGAATTTCAAATTTTTCAACCGATTAAAACAAAACTTCACAGGACTACGAAAAATTACTTGAAACTTAAGAATTTTAACGGTCAATGTGAATAAAAAGTTTTGAAAAAAAATTGTTTCAAATTATAAATCAATTGAAAACATGATTAAGAAATAAAATTTGAAACGTTATTGAAAGGGGATAAAATAATGATCAAGTTATACTTATTATAAAACCTAGTTTATGTGTGTGTGTGTTCGTTTAAATGGTAAAAATGATTACGAGTTTTTTTCAACCAATTTCAACAAAAAAACCTTTTTTTTTCAGGTAGTTTTCTTCATTGATAGCCATTCTTTTTTTCATTATCTTTAATAAACGATGCTTTAAAAACGAAATTTACAAGACAATTGATTACTTGTGGAAACTATTCAATCACGGGTTGATAAACGATTGAAATGCAGTTTTGATTTGAGTAGGGGTTTGACCAATTCTGAAAAAAAAAAAAAAATAATTAAGTTGCGTGTCCGTCAACATTAAACAATAATCTTTTTTGAAGATATTTTCAGCCTTGATGATTTTTAAAATTATTCATATTAGAAACTGTTAAATAAGGCTTAAATTCTTATTAGTTATTAATATTAAAAAAAGAAATTATTATGAAAAAATGAAAATTGAAACATAAATGAAAGTTTTAATCGAAAATATTATAATCAAAAGAAGAAGGATTTAGGTTTAAAGAAGATCGAAGTATAAGTATGGCGCAAAACATGGATAAACCAAAAAAAAAAAAGACGGAGTATCAGAAGGACGGTTTTTCCATTAACACCGCTATTTTTTAACTACCATTACTCTTCGACAATGTTTTTTTCAAAAGGCGATGATTAGAATTGGAATAAAAGCTAAACATATGAAAGAAATATATACATTTTCTTTGTTCTTCAGAACAGAAATAATAAAAATTTAATAAAAGCTGATTTATTTCACAATTTTATTTGTTTATTGGAATGGTTGGTAAAACATCGGCTAATTGCCAACTGATTCGAACTTTATAAAATACTAAATAACAAGGATTTCCTTATAGTTGGTTCGCATGTTTTAATAATTTAGTAAATGTTTATAAAAATTGTTTTCACATTTATTTCTTTATAAATTGGTAAATAATGATTAATGGTATTAGTTTTTAGAATGCTGTATCAAAATAAACTTGTAAATAAACAATCTAATAGATAGTGTTTAATATTTTTGTTGTCAATCCTCAAGGACAAAAAAATGTATATATTCACTTTCATCATATGTTTAGGTTTTATTACAATTCTAATTAGATTGCCAAGAAGTGAAAGTAGTTAAAATAATAGCGGTGTTAATGGAAAAACCGTCATTTTCCCGTACTTGATTTTTTTAAAATATTTTTTTGCGGGCACGAAGTTCCTGGTTGGCCTAGTTTATAATCTTTGTTGTCAAAAATATGTTAATCATGATATTAACGTAAACAAAATAGATTTTATTTGTTTTCAGGAAGTTTCCAATCCGAAAAATACCGTGAGAAGTAAAAAAAAAAACATATTGTCAAAAACTTCAATTGCGAAATTCCTTTTCCAAATCACACAAATATATTTCTTGTTAGGGCAATGTTAACATAAATTATAGTCTTACTCAGAACGGTTACAAACAATACATGTTACAATAAGATATTCCCGCTTAACAGAAAAGGCGCAGATTCCTACTCCTTTTCCCATGAGGAATAATTTTTAATTTTTTTTTTTTTAAATTTTACGTTACTTACCTTGGGTTCAATAAATATTCTGACAAATAATTCCCAATTATATGTATATATATATATATATATATATATCGGTAGAAGTAAACTTTTAGTATTCTGTATGACTCTTAGTAAAATATTTTCGCAATTATTGAAAAGCCGACAATATTTATTCTTATTGCTTTTTAAAGGTGTCAATCCATTTTCTAAGCTACTGTTACTTCTCGACGATTCCAATTTTAGAATGATGATTTCTGAATAATTACAAAGTTAACATTTATTTAATTTAAACGACCTTTAATATTTTGAGAAGAGGCATTGTAATTATTCAAACTAGACTCTTCATCTTTGTTAACACACAGCAAAAAGAAGGATAAAAGTCAAAGGAAGTTTAAAGTGTATACTGTTCAGAGAATGAAAGCTTGTCAGTTTTAAATTAGATGTTAAGTCATCTTCCTTTTTAAGATGAAATAACCTACAAGATTTTCAGTTTTTCAATATTAACCCCAGCTTCTCCATGTAGCCATTTACATTTCGGTTTAATAATATCCAGTGTCCACTTTCATTAGTCAAACTTTCCACTTAAACCTAAATTCCATTTAAAGAGGCCAGATTAAAATTATATAAATAAATTACAAATTAGTTTACGAATTGTCCTTAGAAAAACCAAGGAATAGAATGGTGGGTGGATGTCATCTACATTTGGCGACAAGTAAACAAAAGGAATCCAGTGGACTGATAGAACAAGCGATAATAATAGTGATCACAATTTTTATCAATTTTATTACGACAAAGGCATATTGCAAGGTCTATTTCCGCAATGTGACGATTATTTACACAGCTCACCATCTCTTGTTCTGTACTAATACAGAACAACGCTAGACAAGGTAAAGGGAATACTGAATACAATGATGAGTTAAGTTAATATAACCTTCAAAATCAGTATTTAAAATTTAACCTTTTAATCAGGAATCGAATACTGGAAGCAGTGGAAAATGCGTAACTTAGACGTGAGACAGTTAACAAAAGAAACCGAAGAAAAAATATTATTAGATTTGATTGGTGGCTAAGATAGTTGCTTATTTTTTACAGGTACAAGGTAAAAGTTGGGATGTCGAATGTTGATCTTCTTTCCGTCTATTCTCAGGTGATTGGAGCAAAACAATCTTTACTTATTTGACGTGACAAGTCAGAGTAAACTAAAGTAAATAATTTTCAGGAAATATGCTTTTTACTGAAAGAGAAGAAAGGAAATTCAAATTTATACATTTACTTTCTCCGTGATGCTTAATTCGTTAATAAATGAAAATAATTTTTAAGATTAAAAAGACATTAAGAAAATAAAATATTTATAAATTTGATTTATGCAAGGTTTTAAAACAATATTTTATTTGATTATGTTTCATCTTCCCCCGAGATTGATGTCCCTGGAAGGTAATTATTATAAATATACTAATAAAAGAAAAGGCGAATGATGGTGACGGGATGACAAATCTGTAAAATTACGTCTACGTTTTACTCAACACATACAATTAACGGCAGAGCGAAACACTCAAGCAGAACAATTTTGTCACTGAAGTTGAACAAATCCAACGCAAAGACATATTCATGTACTAGTTATGCAATACAGCTTTAAAATTTAAAAACTTGTTCATTGATTTAATGATTCATTTCATAAATCGACATACGCACTTTTATTATCTTATTCCTTGTTCAGGATGTCCACAAGTATAAATCTACACTACAGTGAATAAAACAATAAACAAGGTTTCTTCTTAATTCGTTAATAAGTCGAGACCAATTAAATGCCACCTGCACGCGAATGGTCATATAGAAGCAACAAAGGATAAAATACGATATAGTCTAACTTTCCAATTTGACTACAACTTCTCAGAATTATTACGTATATATATATATATATAGAACCACGGGATAATATAAAATAACACACACGTGTGTGTGTGTGTGTGTGTGTGTGTGTGTGTGTGAGAGAGAGAGAGAGATCAATAGCAATCATAAAGTAAAGTAATACAATGAAAGCAAATTTTGATATTCAACATATTGAACGAATGAAAAATAAATAAATAAAAAAGGGTCCAAATTTGCACAAATGTCAATGACAATGTAGGTCCTCACTTACTTGTTGATCAAATAATTTGTTGGGCTATTTTACAGCATTCGTCGGCCTAACTGAACCGAATCAGCGCCTGAATATTTTTCCATTTAATCAGATCTTTGGTACGACCATTTTAATAGCAAAACCTCTACAAGTAGTAAAAAGGGATCAAGTGTTATCACAGTTCAATTTTTTCTGAATTTTAGATTCTTCCAGGAAGAATGAAATTTATTGTCATTGCTAATTATGATTACATTCTTGTATCTTGTTTGTTACATTTAAAAAAAAGTTTTAAACCCACTTTCCAAAAATGTGTCATT